ACTTCTCAAATTGAATCGGAGTTAGAGTTAGTGGTCCGGTTTAAATGACTGAATAAGCTGTGGCAGTTCCACAAGTAAATCTTGAAATATCACGCAAATCACGTACCTTCCAACTATGAAGTAATTAACTCCCCACCTGTACTAACTCAGTAACACTTCTCAGCAGCTGTACCCCTACCTGTACTAACTCAGTAACACTTCTCAGCAGCTGTAACCCCACCTGTTCTAACTCAGTAACACTTCTCAGCAGCTGTAACCCCACCTGTACTAACTCAGTAACACTTTTCAGTAGCTGTAACCCCACCTGTACTAACTCAGTAACACTTCTCAGCAGCTGTAACCCCACCTGTACTAACTCAGTAACACTTCTCAGCAGCTGTAACCCCACCTGTACTAACTCAGTAACACTTCTCAGCAGCTGTACCCCCACCTGTACTAACTCAGTAACACTTCTCAGCAGCTGTACCCCCACCTGTACTAACTCAGTAACACTTCTCAGTAGCTGTAACCCCACCTGTACTAACTCAGTAACACTTCTCATCAGCTGTAACCCCACCTGTACTAACTCAATAACACTTCTCAGTAGCTGTAACCCCACCTGTAATAACTCAGTAACACTTCTAAGCAGCTGTAACCCCACCTGTACTAACTCAGTAACACTTCTCAGTAGCTGTAACCCCACCTGTAATAACTCAGTAACACTTCTCAGCAGCTGTAACCCCACCTGTACTAACTCAGTAACACTTCTCAGTAGCTGTAACCCCACCTGTACTAACTCAGTAACACTTCTCAGCAGCTGTACCCCCACCTGTACTAACTCAGTAACACTTCTCAGCAGCTGTACCCCCACCTGTACTAACTCAGTAACACTTCTCAGTAGCTGTAACCCCACCTGTACTAACTCAGTAACACTTCTCATCAGCTGTAACCCCACCTGTACTAACTCAATAACACTTCTCAGCAGCTATAACCCCACCTGTACTAACTCAGTAACACTTCTCAGTAGCTGTAACCCCACCTGTACTAACTCAGTAACACTTCTCAGCAGCTGTAACCCCACCTGTTCTAACTCAGTAACACTTCTCAGAAGCTGTAACCCCACCTGTACTAACTCAGTAACACTTCTCAGCAGCTGTAACCCCACCTGTACTAACTCAGTAACACTTCTCAGCAGCTGTACCCCCACCTGTACTAACTCAGTAACACTTCTCAGCAGCTGTACCCCCACCTGTACTAACTCAGTAACACTTCTCAGTAGCTGTAACCCCACCTGTACTAACTCAGTAACACTTCTCATCAGCTGTAACCCCACCTGTACTAACTCAGTAACACTTCTCAGCAGCTGTAACCCCACCTGTACTAACTCAGTAACACTTCTCAGCAGCTGTACCCCCACCTGTACTAACTCAGTAACACTTCTCAGCAGCTGTACCCCCACCTGTACTAACTCAGTAACACTTCTCAGTAGCTGTAACCCCACCTGTACTAACTCAGTAACACTTCTCATCAGCTGTAACCCCACCTGTACTAACTCAATAACACTTCTCAGTAGCTGTAACCCCACCTGTAATCACTCAGTAACACTTCTCAGCAGCTGTAACCCCACCTGTACTAACTCAGTAACACTTCTCAGTAGCTGTAACCCCACCTGTAATAACTCAGTAACACTTCTCAGCAGCTGTAACCCCACCTGTACTAACTCAGTAACACTTCTCAGTAGCTGTAACCCCACCTGTACTAACTCAGTAACACTTCTCAGCAGCTGTACCCCCACCTGTACTAACTCAGTAACACTTCTCAGCAGCTGTACCCCCACCTGTACTAACTCAGTAACACTTCTCAGTAGCTGTAACCCCACCTGTACTAACTCAGTAACACTTCCCATCAGCTGTAACCCCACCTGTACTAACTCAATAACACTTCTCAGCAGCTATAACCCCACCTGTACTAACTCAGTAACACTTCTCAGTAGCTGTAACCCCACCTGTACTAACTCAGTAACACTTCTCAGCAGCTGTAACCCCACCTGTTCTAACTCAGTAACACTTCTCAGAAGCTGTAACCCCACCTGTACTAACTCAGTAACACTTCTCAGCAGCTGTAACCCCACCTGTACTAACTCAGTAACACTTCTCAGCAGCTGTACCCCCACCTGTACTAACTCAGTAACACTTCTCAGCAGCTGTACCCCCACCTGTACTAACTCAGTAACACTTCTCAGTAGCTGTAACCCCACCTGTACTAAGTCAGTAACACTTCTCATCAGCTGTAACCCCACCTGTACTAACTCAATAACACTTCTCAGCAGCTATAACCCCACCTGTACTAACTCAGTAACACTTCTCAGTAGCTGTAACCCCACCTGTACTAACTCAGTAACACTTCTCAGCAGCTGTAACCCCACCTGTTCTAACTCAGTAACACTTCTCAGAAGCTGTAACCCCACCTGTACTAACTCAGTAACACTTCTCAGCAGCTGTAACCCCACCTGTACTAACTCAGTAACACTTCTCAGCAGCTGTAACCCCACCTGTACTAACTCAGAAACACTTCTCAGCAGCAGTAACCCCACCTGTACTAACTCAGAAACACTTCTCAGCAGCAGTAACCCCACCTGTACTAACTCAGTAACACTTCTCAGCAGCTGTAACCCCACCTGTACTAACTCAGTAACACTTCTCAGCAGCTGTACCCCTACCTGTACATGGCGTATTACCCATAACTAATTAGCGTATACAGATTACCAGATTAGTCTCCACAATACTGACGTGTGTGCGTGCCCTCAAGCTCTCCCAGGTCACGTGGCTGCAAGGATCCTTAACACTCAATCAACACAGAGTGTATTATGCGGGTTGTGGGGAAGACCTGGTGAATTAAACAGCTGTGAGCACTGAGTATACAGGAAGTTAACCGCTCTGCTAATACAGCATGACGACAACGTGCGCTGTAATTCTGTGTTCACATAACATTCTCTGTATTCCTCATTCCCCCTGTAAATACACTTTGGATATAATTTGTTTTTGGTGACAGTTTATACATAGTTGGTTTATTTATAGTCGTTTAAATCTGCTGTAAACACGTGGTGATGTAGTTTGGTTTCCGTGGTGATTTAGTATGGTTTCCATGAAGTTCCTATCGGAAAATATTGCTATTTTTTAAACGGTAATTTTTTGTAACATCATTATTAGGGTCACATGGTCGAGTTATAAGTAGTTTAGATGTTCACGTGCTTTACATGGGTAATTTAGTACTACATGTCTGCTATATTATCGGAAAATGCCGTTTTAAAAATAGTACTTTTCGGTTTATTCTAGTTAAAATATAAGCATTCTAGATGTTTATACAATTTTAGTTGTTAAAATCCGTATAAATAAATGTGTGATCTGGTGAGGTTTCAGGGAATTTCATATCGGGAAATAAGCATTTGTTGTCAGTATCAGCTTATACTTGAATTGTTAACAGGTTAGTAGATGCTGTAATGCAGGGTGATCTATAGTGTGCATTCCAGCTTGTACTTATCGGCGTAAAAATGCGTTTTTTATAAATCATCACAGATAAGCGCCAGACAAATCTCACACATCACTCAGGGCACAGGATTTTATGCTATACTTTTTTATCGTTATTTACTTAGTTGTATAATTATTTAAACATTATCTGGTCTCTGTAAGGCCAGTCTCCAATCAGTCTGCCTCCGTTAAGGATATTTTTAATTCGAGTGAATTAGTTGAATTCAGTCCATGAGTCAAAGGGACAATTCAAAATTATTTAACAATACTATTGTCTATTATTAGACAATGATATTAAATATATTATTCAATATTATCATTGTCTATTAGACAAAAATATTAGATATATTGACTATATCTAATTAGATATATTTAATTGAAAGAAACTATGCAGTGACGTTTTGACATTTAGTTATTTGTTTTAGGAAAAGGTTAGACTTAGGCGTTGTTTTTAACTATATCCCTAGTTTCAAACTTTTATTTAATTCATAATTAATTATTAAATATCATATACAGGTATAAAATAATGTAACCACTAACCATGTCGAAATTTGGTTAGTCCCTCGACTCAGCTTGTTTGTCTATCATACGAAAACTGAAAAGTCGCTAAAACTATTTTTGGAAATTATTTTCTTTCGTGATATTTTGTTTTATAATCATACTATACGATTTACAGAAACTCAAAGTAATAACACAACATTTGATACATTTCTGAGGGGTCATTAAGAACATGTGTACTCATGTTATGATACAATGATCATTGGAAAATAACGCTCTTCATCATGAGATCATAGTACTGTTCAGAGTTTTGATACTTTTACCTCTGTATCCTTTTGCAATTATGGACAGTTCCCGTACTAAATAAATTGAAGTAAAATAGCAAAATTGTATTCTTACGCCAGATCTTCAATTTAATATTGCTAAGACTGTGAATTATTTCTCTCCATTATTTCTCTCCATACCATCAATGGATTAGTAAATGCAGCCTTTTGATCTACATTTGTTGATGATTTTCATGTTGAATGTTGATGGTCTGCACTCTTCAGTCGTTATTATTCTTTTTGACGTATTTCAGAGCTCTTAATTTTGAATAATGAGTAGTGTCTTACTCTTAGTCAATAGTCATGTTATAATTGATGTAAATATCAAGTTATAATCGCTGTAAATAAGTAAGCAATATAATATAGTGCTAGTGCCTAGTAATGGCTTGCTTTTATTCAAATTTAACGGATACTGTCCTATTACACCGATCTTTAGTTAATAACTTTTACTGTTACAATATATTTGGCAGAAATTTTCACCCCGTTTTATTTGGCGTAAACATTTTCGATTTTTTATCATTGCCAGATAGAAATAAATAATAACCTGCCATTTTGTTCATCTGATGACATGTCAGCTTCAAGATCATATGATTCGCCATATGTGTATCTATCACATATAATAGTACCCGGGCGCATGTTTGGCGCCCGTCAGAGCTGATTTTAGCACACGATATATATTACAATGATTAGTGGTTAAATGACAGACGATGAAACATGTGATGATCACACTACAAATCCTCCCCTTACGATGTGCTGAGCATCAATGACAAGGCCATCATGGTATTTCTCTCCAGAGAGAGTGACTGTTCTAATGAGTCGTCCCTTACTGGTGTGGGCTTCTTTGAGCACAGTTTATCAAAACCAGGCTAGTCAAATAATAATAAGCTGTAGGATCTTCATCTAATAACTTAATAAGACTTTATAAATTTCTCGGTGCCTTAATCCATACGAACACGCTCAACTTTGCAAATGTTATTAGCCGATTTTTATCGTTTTGCCTTAAGATCTTACAATTTTGGATTTACATCTTAATGACTCAGAGCCTTTAGTCCTGAAAAGAAAGCAACCCAAGGTTATCTTCCTTTTAATTTAACTAAAAGCAATGTGAATTATAATAAAACTAACGTTTCAGTGATCTCCTCGGAGTTGGTGGATATAATGTTGGGAGTAGCAGTCTCGTGTCTGTCTCTACTGGGTATCATCGGCAACTGCATCGCAGTGAGTCACACTTTTACACCCCATACTGATACTGGTCATCATAGTTTTGGGCACTTGAAGGATCAGTGTCATGACCCTTCAACTTTTAAAAAAATTGAAAATTGTTTGATACTGCACACACAAATTAAACCGAAGAATCTTATTTAATAGGAAAAACTCCTCACATACAACACCACTACACCACGACACCACTACACCACTACACCACTACACCACTACACCACTACACCACTACACCACTACACCACTACACCACTACACCACTACACCACTACACCACTACACCACTACACCACTACACCACTACACCACTACACCACTACACCACTACACCACTACACCACTACACCACTACACCACTACACCACTACACCACTACACCACTACACCACTACACCACTACACCACTACACCACTACACCACTACACCACTACACCACTACACCACTACACCACTACACCACTACACCACTACACCACTACACCACTACACCACTACACCACTACACCACTACACCACTACACCACTACACCACTACACCACTACACCACTACACCACTACACCACTACACCACTACACCACTACACCACTACACCACTACACCACTACACCACTACACCACTACACCACTACACCACTACACCACTACACCACTACACCACTACACCACTACACCACTACACCACTACACCACTACACCACTACACCACTACACCACTACACCACTACACCACTACACCACTACACCACTACACCACTACACCACTACACCACTACACCACTACACCACTACACCACTCTCCTAGGTGTACGTGATACGAAGAGTACTGAGGATGAGAAGTGCACGAACTACCCGAGCAGATGAGCAGGGCGTGGTGGTGGTGTTCCTCAACCTGGCTATCTGCGATCTTTCTATTTCTCTTCTTGTCATGCCTTTCACTGCTGCTGTTCTTTTTAACGGGTAGGTTTCAATGCTGCTGTCATTTTTAACGGGTAGGTTTCAATGCTGCTGTTTTGTTTGAGGGGTTGGGATCACTGCTACTGTTTTTTTGAGGGGTTGGGTTCGCTATTTCTGTGTTGTGAGTGGTTGGGTTGGCTATTTCTGTGCTGTGAGGGGTTGGGTTCGCTATTTCTGTGCTGTGAGGGGTTGGGTTCGCTATTTCTGTGCTGTGAGGGGTTGGGTTCGCTATTTCTGTGCTGTGAGGGGTTGGGTTCGCTATTTCTGTGCTGTGAGGGGTTGGGTTCGCTATTTCTGTGCTGTGAGTGGGTTGGGTTCGCTATTTCTGTGCTGTGAGTGGTTGGGTTCGCTATTTCTGTGCTGTGAGTGGTTGGGTTCGCTATTTCTGTGCTGTGAGTGGGTTGGGTTCGCTATTTCTGTGCTGTGAGGGGTTGGGTTCGCTATTTCTGTGCTGTGAGTGGGTTGGGTTCGCTATTTCTGTGCTGTGAGTGGTTGGGTTCGCTATTTCTGTGCTGTGAGTGGGGTTGGGTTCGCTATTTCTGTGCTGTGAGTGGGTTGGGTTCGCTATTTCTGTGCTGTGAGTGGGTAATACACGGATTAATGTCTTCATTCCACAGGCGCGAGATGTTATTGTTCGAGACAGATCTCCTGAACAAGCTACTCTGCAATGTCAGCGGGGTTGTCTTCAACTTGGCTTCAAGAACCAGTGTGTTCCTTATTCTCTACATCAGGTATCGGTAATTTGTTCGTAATTAACCTGTAATCTTTATTGGTAATTACTTAATGATTTGTATTATACACACTGATGATGGACGATCAGGGAAAGTGTTGTACCTCGTATGTTTAAATATTACTGAGAATTGCAACATAACAATTTCAGTGTGACTCGAGCTCTAGTGATGGGGTTCACAACATAACAATTTCAGTGTGACTCGAGCTCTAGTGATGGGTTTCACAACATAACAATTTCAGTGTGACTCGAGCTCTAGTGATGGGTTTCCCGTTCATGAAGAAGTGTTGGAAGAGCAGGATGAACAACAAAATTATAATCTCCACTTGCTGGCTAGCAGCAGCAATAATCTCAATTATTCCTTTCTTCTTTGGGAAGGAGTACGTCTACATCCCGATCGTGGCTTCTTGTCAGTATCGACTATCTGAAATATACGAGGTGATTGATATACGTTATACATACATAGTCTCACTAAATTTCTATCTTCCTAACTGAATTATCGATTTATCATCAGTATTACCACTTCAAACTTCATAATACTTTGTAAAGGCATTATAAATAACATCACTCATTGATAGTAATAGTTAAACTGATTAAATTCTGTATTGCTATTAAGTCTTATTTGACGAATCTTTCAAGATCAATTTAAATTTTTTCCGAATAGACTCAGGTTGAGTATAATTATATTCAGATAAATCCAGCACTTTTCTCCAAAAGAATCGGTATAGTTAAACTAACTCCTTTCAGCCACAAGATGACGGGGAGCATATAGGTTACTTGTACGTGGCCCTGGTAGTGCTCCCTATCTGTCTGCCTGGTATCATCATCTTCCTGTCCAGCTTTGTTGTCATCCTCAAACTCTACCTTAATTCACTGTCTTATCAGTGCTGTCTCAGGTCCGTATCTTTGGTTTTGTTACTTTCACTTTCATTTTCTTGTCCAGCTTTCACTTTCACTTTCACTTTCTTGTCCAGCTTTGTTTTGATCCTCAAACTCTACCTTAATTCACTGTCTTATCAGTGCTGTCTCAGGTCCGTATCTTTGGTTTTGTTACTTTCATTTTCATTTTCTTGTCCAGCTTTCACTTTAACTTTCACTTTCTTGTCCAGCTTTGCTTTGATCCTCGAACTCTACCTTAATTCACTGTCTTATCAGTGCTGTCTCAGGTTCATTATGAAATCTTTGGCTTTGTTGCTTTCACGAAATTGGCTGAAAAGGGGGAAATGTTGCCTTTTTTCAAACTGTATCAAACTGTATCATCCTCTAACATTAGAGATGATACAGTTTCCACCACTTCAAGTGTATGTCGACTAAAGTTAGTCATGGATAATTTACCAGTGTTAATTCAATTAACACTTCTAAAATAGTGGTTATATCGTATTTTAAAAGGCTTACTAAATTTCGTCTCACAAGGAAATAAATATTTAGTCGAATTTCAAGGTTACACTCTCCCTACAGAGTAACCAGAAGCACCTGTTTGGAGAAAACAAAGATAGGAAGGACGGTGGAGGTCAAGGCTATGTTGAGAGAAGGTTTTGGCCGTGAGTGGTTGCTATAAAGCGAATCAAATTCTTTGATTCCACTCCTTAGAAACATAAAGATGTCCATGATGAAACAAATAGAACTATTCCCTTGTTAATGCAGCAAATTTAAGGAGTCCAAATTTCCAGCCTAACTATTAACAAATACTCTCTTTCCACACAGGTCAACCCCGAACAAGAGGATCAGCGATCCAGACTCTAATTCTAATTATCATCGCATTTGTCCTCTGTTACCTATCCTACTGGACAGTAGCTCTTGAACAGCTCCTGGAAATACTGGGAGTAGTGAGGTGTAACTTGTTGTTCTCACTGTTTGGAGGGGAGAACCACCTCTCCCACCACTACATCTACCTCCTTCCCAGCGTTATTTTACTCTTCCTCAACTGTATTCTCAATCCGGTTGTTTATTATTTTCAAGGTTCACGGTTCAAGGGCGCGTTACCCTGGAGGAAGTCTACAGTTGAGAAATGTAACTTTCATCATCATGATGATAGGCTGGTGAGAAGAAAAATAAGGTACACAGATGTTATTATTCAGTTTTCTCACACCCCACAAAGAGTTACCTCTTGTTTATGGGTCGATGACAACGGGAAACGGCTTTCTTTGACTGATAAGATTCATGAGTTTGCTGCAAACAGGCGACAGAGTATGATGACAAGGGAATTGGAAGCCATGAGGTCCGCAGAGGAGGCTATATTCGAGGAGGCATTTGGTTCAACGTGTTCTACAGTGGTCGTGGAAATGGATAAGGTGAACTTTTTAGATCGGTTGAAATCATCGGGTGAGATAGACATTGTTGAAAGGGATTGTCCCGAACAGCCAACTTATCCTAAGACAAGTAAACATGCTAACAAAAAGATGAGTAACGCTTTTGGTCATCAGTACCCTCGACCTCGGAGTTTGAGACTAAGAATGGACCCCTTCGTACCTCACGAACGTGAGGGTAATGAGCCTTTTCCTTCTGAGTGTAGAGAAAAAACCAGTCATCCTCCTAAGAATCAGACTACAGGCATGAAATCCCTCCCAAGACCCCGTCAAGAGATAAGCAAACCACCACCAGCCCCTTCAGAACGGGAACGGCATTCCATCGCGGCCATTCCAATGAGCAGCAAACCACCCACATTATTACCACACTCCAGGCAACACTCTTCTCCCGTTCTAACCAAGTCCCAGAAGACCCCTCAAACTGAGAGGAGGCTGTCTCTGGCAGTACTGCAACCAAGGGAGCTGAAGCTGTCAAGTCTTGATAGGAGTCCCGGGGGTACCTCCCCAAACACGACCCCCATGAAGTCAGCTCCTCCGTCCCCACTTGTCATGCCATACAAAAGAAACAACGCACCTTCAACTACCGCTACTAGCAGTAAATCGGCCAACAAAGCTAAAAGTTCCAACAAGTTAGAAACGGAGAACCAACCTGCCAATTCAAAAGTTAAGGGCGCCCCAAAAAGAAGGCATTTTCGTCCGCGAGGCAAACCAATGAAGCTAGTTGTGATAGAGGATCCCCGGAGGTCTCTAGGGGCGTGCCCTGAACTTGAGGAGGAGCAAAGTATTATTTTCAACCCCAATGACCTGAAAATAAGTAACTTCTGACAAATATTTGCTTTTTATGGGCTCACCTCTCAACATTTGGTACCATGATCTAATTTAACCGGGATTATATAAATGTACAATAAAGTATATAACTGTTTTACTGTTTAATCCTGTTATAGTTACAGTGAGTTAGTATTTTCGAGTCTGCAAATTGTCATGAACCGCTGGGATCAGCGGACTGGAGAAATTATTTGGCTGCCACTGAAAGATCTGTTACATTTAGATCAAAAATCCGGTTAAGCACGCTTTACCCACACATACACTGCGACCAGTAGACTAGATCGCACGTTCAGCTCTCTTTCTCTCTCTCTCTATCTGTTAACAATTCCAACAGAGCTTATAACTTTATATAACACATTAATAAAATACATTGTCGTTCTTATGTTAGAAAACGTTTGTCCACCTATCCACACGTGTCACAGCTATAATCTGTACATCAGCCCGACTTCACGTACTGGGCTGGTCTCCTAACATGTCACCAGGGTCATACCACGTGCGTTACCCACGTGATACCATGACGAGTGCACGTGCGTTAAGGTTGCGGTCACGTGACCTTCAGATGACACTTCGGGAGTTGAACTTCCATGCTCTTTACAAAATACAATGTATACGAAGCGACACTTGTATCGTTTTTACTTTAGGTTTTCCATTCGATGTCCTTTTTGTTCACGATTCCGCTTGGTAAAATGTCCATTGCCCAACTTTCACACTCACAATGAATTAATATTTATGCCGTGTTTTGGTAAAATCTCATTTTGAGTAGCACGATGCCTCTCAATAGCACTCAGTACACACGATAACGTCATGTAGGTACAGCTTTATTCTATCTATTGCCTCAAAAGAAACAACTGAAGTGTGATTGTAAGACCTCTCTCACACGGAGATGAAGTGCTGATTACTGACACTGCGCTATTGTTCACTGTGCTATTCTCTTAGCACTTCTTCATAAATTAACTTTTATCTGCTGGATTATAATATATTGTTTTCGGACATTCACACCTGAGTTTAGTAGTTTCCAGCTTACTCATTACTATCAGTATCTGTTTTTTACTTGTACTTTCGCTCTTTGGATATTCCGTGTGGTACAATCGTGTTCTTCGTCTTTTGGTACTTTGATAGAAATATTCTATAACATTATAGTCATAATAAGGTCAGGATCGATGTTAGGATTTGAGGTAGTGACCTGTTATACAACTTTAATAGATATTTGGTTGCATCAAAGTAGAACATGAAGTCTTTGGGGTTAAAGTTTTCCTTCCGCCTCTATCCAGTGTCCATTCATGGGTAATTTGTGAATGATATAAATCTAATGTCTGTAATATGGTGGTGTTTCTCAAATATTCAATTTTGTTCATTGCATTACAACACACAGACGGTTAGTTCGAAAATTCAACAAATACACTCAATGAACTGCGTCCAATCGACGAAAATGAATTAATTTGATTTATTTCTCAACCATTTGATTTGGTCAAGGAGCTGTCCACGCCCTATATCTCTATATTTCATATGTGTCCTCATTCGTTCGATGAACATGGGCGGACAGTAACTCCAAGCCATTGGTCAGTTGTAGATTGTCCACCCTGCAATGATGACTGGGCAGACCTCAACATATTACAGGGTTAAGTGAAAAAAATTAGCTTGTATTGACCAAATATAGTGTTGGTCAACTGTAATTTCACCGACCTTTCAGCCTTCAAACGACCTTAATTAAGATCGACCAATGAACACACAGACACGATATAATGAATTCCTTCGAGGCAATTGAACAATTTAAGGCACCGCCAGGACTTGATGTTGTCAATTGTCAATACATACCGAATATTGAAATATGGCATAGTTTTTCTTCCCATATACGCAGGGGTCTCTTACTACTTTTGTAGAGTTTAACGAGGAATAGGGTTTGGCACAGTCATTAGTCAATCACTCTTAGTTACCAAGAGTCGTCTTAGATCAGACTCTATGTCAAGTATCAACTCTTTAGATCTGATTTCTTGAGCCGACAGTCGTTAAATTTGATTTCTGATGTCAAGTTTTGGGGTCTGATCATAGCGGGCGACGGAATTGGAATTGAAACAAATATCGATTCTCGAGACTTGGCATCAATCACTTATCCAAACCTTATCTATACAGCTGGCAATATAATAGCAGACAATTGATATATATATCAATTGTCTATACTATAAAGTATAACCTTTTAGATATATCTAAAAGGTTATACTTTATAGTATCGGTTTGATTCACGATCTTGTGTCGGACTTCAAAAAGGAGTGTAATCGATCAGTTAATTACTACCTAGCTGTTAGGTTTCGTGTTTTGTAGTTTTTGGGCAGTTGACAAGGATTGTAGTCGGACGACTTAAGCTGACCTCATTTCCGGACTTACAGAAATGGGCAATGATTGGGAGATTGTGTAAGTTTTTTCTGACACATGACAACGACAGTGGAATTCAATGGATCGATGATGATTGGATAATCGCTGTCACGTGACAAAACAATCGAGCTGCACTGCTATATGCTTATATGATATAATCATGTGCGACATAAAATTCCCAAATACCATCACTTATAATACCTCTTGACTCAGAGGAAGTGGACCAGAGCGGTCCAGCAATCATTAGGAATGCGCTGTGAAGAAGTCAACATCATCTTAAACTCAATTCCTAAAACAAACACAGGTTTTATGGCTTATATACCCTACAAACGTACAACATGATGGTGTACAGCAGTATATTAGTATATTAATATATCAAAATGTTATCGTCTGAGACCTGGACCCAGCAAATCTACACCGGCAGGTTTGTTCTGTGTCCGCAGAGAAACTAGGCTACTAATATCAAAGTATTAACACCTATACTGTATGGATGTGCGACTATAGTCTGGGAGAAACCCCGCCATTGCTTCATAGTGTTGGGTGGTTACTCTTTTTTTGGTTTTCGGCTGTGTTTGCTTTTTGATTGTTTATTAACTGGGGCCCTTATGTTTCATATAATGGGAAATTATTGGCCATTAGTTATTGCAACCATACAGCAACCATACGGTCTCTATGCAGCCTTCGCACGGTTTCTATACGGCCTCCATACGGCATTTATGTGGTACAGCCTTCATGTGGCTCCATATAACGGCCTTCATGTAATATTTTAAGGCCATCATACGGCTTTCATACCTGAGCTGCGAGCCGCCGCCGAACGCCACCAACACTGCGAATTTAGCCACGCCGCCGAACCGTGAAATTAGGTCGGCATCCGGAAATACAACACGTAAGCTTGTAGTTTTCCCCAGTTACTCAGTTAACGTGACAGATTTTATTTCATACATGGACGTCACCAGCAGGGCCGTCGCTATTTTTGGCTACGCCACTGACCGCTAATTTTGGCCATGCGGCCACCGGTTTTTCCAAAACGAGGCGGCGTTCTGATCCATATGGCCTTTTTAAGTTTATGCAGCTTCTATACAGCCTCTATACGGGCGTATATCCATTCTTGGTGTCTGTTTCTAAACTGGAGAACACCCTCTTATTAAAAAGTTTTATATTAATCTCTAATAAATTCGTTGAGGCTAGGTTCCACAACTTCCTTATTTAAAGCGTGCACATTAACTATTAGACGTTATCAACTCAAGTTTTAGAATTTAAATGGTTCCGTTTAGTAGAACCAATCAAATTGACGGAGACATCAGACATTAGGTATATGAGCAGACATTGGCAGTCACCACCCTATCATTACTTATCAGTCACCACCATATCATTACTTATCAATCACCGCCCTATCATTACTTATCAGTCACCACCATATCATTACTTATCAGTCACCACCATATCATTCTTTATCAGTCACCACCATATCATTACTTCTTTTCAGTCACCAACCATATCATACTTATCAGTCACAACCGCATTCTAATACTTAATCAGTCACCACCATATCATTACGTATCAGTCACCACCATATCATTACTTATCAGTCACCACCATATCATTACTTATCAATCACTAACTTTTTTACCATATCATTACTTATCAGTCACCACCATATCATTACTTATCAGTCACCACCATATCATTACTTATCAATCACCGCCATATCATTACTTATCAGCCTCACTAATATCAGTTACAATTCACAAGGTTCAAACAACGTAAATGGGTATTAATAGTGTCAGAAGATATGAAGCGTCTAATATTAACTTCGAGACGCTAAGTACTTACTTTAAGTCAATTTGATCAAATTTAAGGAGAGTTAGATACGCATAATATGCGATCATAACATGTAATCATAATATGTAATCATAATAATATGACAATAATTTAACAGTGGCATTTAAAAGCAGGAATTAAGGAATTATAAGTGTATAAGATGGTAATATTCACTTATGTTTGCTTTTAAACGTCAACATTAAATCCGAGTACTGTTTTAATTACCCACCAGAATTCATTCAATTTCGTTATAATTAATTTTGATTTCGAGTTTGACAACCTTGGGAAACGCTTTACCTCACTGTTTTGTACATGGACCTTTCCAGTTTCCAATAAAGTTGTCATGTCACTGAACGTAATACTGGCCCTTGAAAACAGCTTCTTAACACGGGGTAAAGTTGTCAACTTAAGATGACAAACATAAACCGTTCCAAATACCTTTCCATGGAAGCGCAGGAGGATCGGCCTCAGGACCCCTTTAAATTAATTAGCATGCTTCCAGTTTCTGCTATCGACTAACGTATGCTATTGCTACCCTGAACAATATCTACACTCTGTTATAATCGTGGTATGATACTCTCCGAGTTGCTTCCATTTCGTTTAGTTGCAATCCTTATTGCTTACATCTAAGGTAACTGGACAGGATGATAGTCTTCTCAAAATTTGAACTGGCCATGACGAGGCCATGCAAAAGCCATATCGTGGCAGTTTTGTGATTGTTTATGGTTGCAACAGCCATATAGGAACCGTTAGATTAGTGTGATCTATAAAGTGATTGAATATATTATGCAATACTAAATTGTCGTATACTCCGCCTCAAATTGGTGGCTTTATTGTAAGCTTATATAGGTATGCTAAAAGCTGTCAGATTTATCGAAGCCTTCAAATCGTAAATAGTATGATTATTTGATTAATGTAACATCATTGATACCTCTTAATTTT